CCTCCCTTAATTTTTCCCAGTGTCCTATTATTGGACATTGACACTCTGTCCACAGTTATTTGGACCTTGAGTGCAGTCATAGCCTTTTCCTCAGTTTGCTTTGTTTATCGAGGACAGAGAAGTCATTGGAAAATCTCACCCAGAGGCTGGGCATCCTGATAAAGCTTGCATTTATAATCCTTGCATACGATATCATGCCTTATCACTTGGTTGAGATGCCTCAAAGCGCTTCACAGGATTCACTGTAAAGTGTCGTGACTGTGCATTTTGTGGTTGAAATGTGGTAGCCAATTGCATATAGCAGTGTCCCACAAACAGTCGTGGATTGAATGAGCAGAATATTATTTTTAGAGGGATTATTAGCCCCAGAAAAGCGATCCGCCAATTCACTAACCACCGGATTCCTATTTATTGCTAGGTAAACAGTGTGGAGTGAGGAAACTTGCCTAAGGTTTCGCCCTGTCCGGGAATCAAACCCAGGTCTTGTCGCTTGCTTTTCTGATAGAGAAAGTAAATGTGTTCTTTACATGGTGACAGTCAATTCACACTGAAGACCTGGTACCAGTGAAGATTGTGCTGTACCAAAGCAAGTGAGTGGTGGTCACAATGGGAAAAGCTGCCAAATATTTGAATATTCACTGAAACTTGGCCATAATGCATCACAGTCAGCACTTTAGTGTTGTAAAAAGCTTGTGCTCTGTGAATTATAAATTGTGCCTTGAACATTATCAGGTCACAAGTGCAAGATCTTGTGTTCTCATGTATTCAGACTGGCAATGGTTATCACTTTTAGCTGCATCATGTCAAAGTGATGCATGGATCCAACAGAGGAAACACAGCAGGATATGGTGGTGGCTGCCCTCAAGTGCAACGTTCGGGCTCACGAGGACCTCATTTGGACGATACAGGCATTTCTAACTGCTGATCTGCACCGATCCAGGAGTCCGGATAGCCGCTAACTTTCAATTGGAAGCTGATCGCCCACAAAACATAGTCAACTCACTTTACAGTATATTCTGTGAAGTGCTTTGAGACGTCTAGAAGATGTGGTAAAGGGCTATATCAAATGCAAGGATTATTATTTTGAGGATTGAGAAAAGGCTTTTTGTTCCTTTTCCTCTCTTTTTTCATCTCAAGAAATGTGGAGCCTTGATGCAGGATAAGATTACTGTGTTTTGGATGTGGCTTTCAAAAGCTCCTAGCAACGCGAAGGATTTCCTGCAGCCCACATGTAAACTGCAAGATAAAGTGTGAGGTGATTCACTGTAAAAAGTGGAAAATCGCTGCAGATGGAGGATGTGGCCCTAGATTGATGTGTCGATCAGTACATTTGAGGCAGTCAGTCTCAGGGCAAAAGCTCAGACTGTGAGAAGCTGGATTAACTTGTGCATTTAGAGTAGGTATTGGTGTCTTTGGCAACTTCTGATGCAGCTTGCTTCAAGGCTCCCAAGGTAAAGAACTGGGAATATCTGGCATTGTAATCTGAGTAGGAGAGACTTGAACAATCTCGCCACATTAAGGTTTGTGTCTGAATAGGGATGGTGCTCACAAGCTTCCACCTTACTGCTGTGCAGAGCGTTCTTCCACTCAAGAGTATACCAACAAGCTGAGCAGTATTGTAAGTGGTATTGTCTGTCAACCGTTTCAGTTAAAGGTTGCAATGGTCGTAGCTTGGTTCTCTTATCCTCTCTTTCTCTCTCCCTCCCACATTTATTTTTAATTTGTCTGGTATTTGAAGACTGCCCAACATCTCTGACAAAGAAACGGTGTTTAAAAAGTATGGGAGTTTGACGTGCTTTCAAATCCACACTGTACCCTCTGCAGTGAAGAGAAATAGCTCTTCAATGTTGTTGACGTATGGAGTAGCTTTGGAACTAATAACCTTCAACACTGGCCAGCTTACCAAAGGCAGATCGTTCTGTGAGTTATGTATCCAGTAATCCTCTTATGTGCAATTCTTCACTTCTTTAAAAGAATCGGTGCTTGTCCACTGACTCCTGGATACAAAGCATGTCTGATGTGGCACAATTTCTGACAGATTATTTTATTAAAGTACAAGCAAATGTGTGAGCGAGAGAGGCAACAGTGTACTACAATAAAAACTGTTACAGCCCTAGAGAATAATACTACCCAACCTCAATTATACAGTCCCAAACATCAGTGAGACTGCCATGTAATGAGAGAAAGTACAGTACCTTTCCTTTGGGTGGGATTTTGATTTGAGCCTGGGACAGGAATTAAATTGTCTGATGACTGTTGTAAAAGGGGATTTATAGAAATGTTGATCCTAAATTAAAACTGGGAGGGGTTCAATAGGCTGAGTGTGGTCAGGGCTGATGGTTTATCCAACACCTTTTAGTGGCATCCACCATTTCCAGCTCGGCTGGTGCTGCATTTCTATGCCAAGCCCCTTACAATGGTCTGACTTGTGGAAATGGGAGAAAAGGTAAAGAGACGTTGAAGTTCTAACTGACTTGTGTGCTATGTATGATTCAGTGCAACATGTGAAAATATTCTGCACAAAAAGAAGCCATTTGCTATTTATGTGTTTCCACTTATGAGGGATCCTGGGATACAACATTTACACAGCGCCCTTCAAGTGGGGTAGTGTTTCAGAATGCTTAATAGTGGCAGATCTTGACACCAAGCCAGGAAGAGGTGGAAGGTGGCTGTAGGCACAATCGAAGAAAAAAGTCTTCACATGTGATCTGAAGATGGACTAGGAGGGACAAAGTGGAGGAATTGAGGCAGACAGTTCCAGAGTCTCGGGGTGTAGTGGCTGAAAGCGTGGCTGCCAATCGTGGTGCGGAGATAAGGGAAGTGCAGGAGGCCACATTGTATTGGTGACTAGACTGTGAAATATGAACCCACCAAGACTCCACTCTTTTTCCTTTTTTTTCTTCGATATTAATGGGCTTTGGGAGACTGAATGACTAACTACTGTTTAGTTTTTAACAAAAGTTAGAAAAGAGAATTTCTCTTATATTAGTCATTCGATAGTTGAGGAAATTGCAGGTTCTATGAATAAGAGAGGGAATTGTTCATATTGTGGGCTGACTGCTCTGGCCAGATCTCTTTTGTACCCTGTCAATGTTTTATTCAGAAATTCTCTGAATGCTTGCTCAGTGAGTTTATCTAGTAAGTTGTTGAGCCCAGAGACCAAGAAGGTTTCAGTTCAAGACTGAATTGGCTGACCTCAGTTAGGACCCTACAGTTGCTGGAGGTGGGTTTGGGGATATTGGGCAAAATTTGGACTAGACTGTGCTGCAGTGCCAATCACGGTTGAATAGACTGTCATGTTTACTTGACCCATTAGAGGGCAGCTGGCTGGCCTTCCCAGTGGAAGAGGATATGTTGAAATGTATTCAGGAGAGGAGAGGCAGAAAAGGAACAGAATGCCTATTGGTAACAAAATCCTCCAGCGAGTTATCATTAAAATGGTTAATTAAAGTTTCAGGTTGTCTGTACTCTTTTGGGATGAAGTGAAACTGGTTTATCACAGGCCTCAAACACTGGCTTGATTTTTTGCCTACTGGTTTACATTTTCATAGGCTGTTTAATAATAATAATGGAGAGAGAAATCGTGGGCAATATGGGACTTTATTGTTTTTGCTGTTAAAAGAGTACGCAGTTTCTCCAGGTTATTTTTACTGCAAAGTGCAGTTGTGTATCATTGCAATGATGGTTTAATGCAATGAGCTAGTTATGAGGCTATTCTCTGACAATGCAAAAACATTTTCCACTTTTGGTCATAAATCTTCTTGTACATTGTGGATTACAAGGTTGAAAATCCTAGCAGTTTGCTGTACACAATCCAGCAGTTAGCAATTATGCTAAATCTTATCCAAAGTAGTTCAAGCCTTGCTATACAGCATACCCCATCACATACCTGTATTCAGCAGCTTTGTATAAAAGTGCAAGGCTATAAATGTGTGGAAGATTCAGCTTTTAGAGTCTTGTGTTTTTGAGGACTGGTGTTTCGAATTTCAATGCAATGAGTTAGCATTCACAAAAAGGGATTTTTTCCGAGCTCTTAGCTGCATCTCTTTGGGAAATCTTTTTTGAATAACATTACAGGTAGGTTCCATGTCTAATGTGATCCCTTTCCTCCTAGTTTCAGTTTCAGTTCATTCAGCATCGATGATGCTGCGGTTCCTAGTCGTGATGCAGTTGCCAGGTGCTGCTACTTTAATCTATGCAGCACAGATCTGGGCTGATGCAGACATGTGCTGAGTTAAAGAAACAGACAACTTCCTGTCTGCTTCCATCACTGTGTTTTTGTTGTAAGTCAACAATCGACTCACATTGAGCTTTGCTAAAGTCTTTTATCGTTTGTTTCTTGCAGGACTGGGATCGTCACAACAAAACATCTATCCACAATGACAGCTGCCGGCTTTTGCTCAAAGAGTGAGGATTTAAGTTTGGATTTCATTGGGTTATTAATGGAGGGGGCTTTCTTTTTCATGCATTTCAATTGTGAAAATATTTATAAGTAGCTTTGAAAAGTATTAGATCAATTCTTAGTTTACAGTAAATATTGTAAACGTTCTGCCTTTTTCTCCAATATTCTTCTTTCTAAATTACATCTTAACTTTTGTCCTTGGTTTTCTCTCAATTGTTTGAGATAAATCTGCACGCCCAGTCTTGTTTATTCCCCTCCTTTGTGTGATTTTTACAGTACTATTTTCAGTTATCTTCCTCACCATGAATAGTTGAAGCTGAGTCCATAATATTAATAATAATCCTTGCATTTGATATAGCGCCTTATCACGTCTTTGCAACGTCTCAAAGCGCTTCACAGAATATACTTGAATTGATTGTATACTTTGCAGCCAATTGCACACAGCAGTGTGAGTGACAATTATTATTTTTTTTGAAGGATTATTACCCCGGTAAAGCGATCCACCAATTGACTAACAACCGGGTTCCTACTTACTGCTAGGTAAACAGAGGTGTGTGGAGTAAGGAAACTTGCCCAGCATTTCGCACTGTCTGGGAATCAAAACCACTAAACTACAGATTCCATAAGAGCTTTTAAAAGGGAATGGATTAATGTAAGTGAGGGAAATGTTAAATGGTTAGGGGAGGAGGAGACCAGGGACTGGCATGAGTAAATGGCTCCAGTAGGGAAGCTAGCACACACTATGACCAAATGACCTTGCTCTGTACTGTACACATACTGTTATTCTATAACAATTGAGTAATCTGGGCACAGGGATTAAGACTGCTGTTGCCAAGATGTTGTGTAGATAATTGAAAGAGTGATCAGCGGTTTGCCTCACAGGTTTGCCTCACACCATACTGCAGGGTGCTTCAGTCACTCCACATGAATTCAAATGTTTTGTCTTACAGATATCCAGATTGGAATCCAGATGCTATTCCTCCAACAAAGTAAGTTTTATTATGAAATCAAACTTTTCTCATTGGGGAATTAGCTGGAGGCAGGGCTGGGGTTAGGGTGGGTTTTCTAAACTGGATGAACATTCTCTGGCACTGAGTAATTTAGTAACCATTTTGGGCAAGAGTGGAGCATTGGTCCATGCAACAAGAACAATTGGGCTAGGTAGCATCTTTACTACTCCTGGGTCCACTCTCTGCTCCTTGTACATCGCCGGTGGAGCACGGAGGTATTGTTTCCAAAAGCTGGAAACATGGAAACGTACATCCACGATTAGTCACACAATCAATGCAGTCACTCCCGCACATGTGCTGTGAGTTTATATTCCAACCTCACTTCCACCTGACTCTCAGATAGTTACTAAGGTGGTTGCTATGGCTGGTTTGGTTCCTGATTCAAAACTTCTCTTTAGAGGAAGTCCCCATTTTGTGTAGACATCTTCCCCATTCCAATTACCACATACAGTTCCACCTACCACGTACAGAATGGAAGCGGTGGGCTGGGGTGTGATGATCAATAATATAATAGTTTTCCTGATGTTGAAGTAGTATTGTGTTTTTTAAATTGATACATTTCTTGCACAAAAGCGTTCTCACTTTTACTGTTTAACCGTGATCCAAGCTGAAGGAAATGTATTTGATTGTTTACCAATAGGGATGATCTGGCGAAAAAAGAGAAAGAGGCTGCTGCTGCGGACGTAGCCCTCTTGTCCTCCGGCTCCGGGCGCATGAGTCCAAAGCATTTGAGTCCCAGAAGATCCGGTTCCAGACATCTCAGCCCACACAGATCCAGCCCCAGGCGAAGTCCACACAGGTCCAGCCCCAGGCGAATGAGCCCATACAGATCACGGAGCCCCAGACGTCTGAGCCCACATAGATCGAGGAGTCCCAGACACTTTAGTCCACACAGGTCAAGGAGCCCTAGACGTTTTAGCCCACATAGGTCAAGGAGCCCCAGGCGTTTTAGCCCACATAGGTCAAGGAGCCCGAGACGTTTTAGCCCTCATAGATCGAGGAGTCCCAGACATCTGAGCCCATACAGGGGCAGCCCTAGACGTCTGAGCCCAAGGAGATCAAGTCCCAGACGTTCTAGCCCATACAGAGGCAGACACAGTCCTCATCGCTTGAGCCCTTACAGGTCCAGGATCAGTCCACGACACTCAAGCCCACATAGGTGCAGAGCCAGTCCTCGGCGCTTGAGTCCACATAAGTCCAGGGCCAGCCCAAAACGCTCCAGCCCGCACCAATCCAAGTCAAGCCCACGCCACTCCAGTCCAAAGCGCAAACCTCAGAAGGAATCCAGTTCCAAGCATACAAGCCAGAAGCCTGCAAACCAGAAGTCTTCAAAAGTGGCTGGCCACACAGCGAGGCCTGCGGCCTCCAGTGAAGCAAAGAGCACTGAAGGTAGAGTACAGTAAACCTCACATAAGTCATATGGGACCATATATTTAATATCACTTATGTAAAGTAATGTATAAGTCAGATTTTATATGAATTACACATCATAAATAGACAAGTACTGTCTTGGCTGGTGACATTAAAGCAAGGTTTCTGTACCATGTGTAACCTAGGCATATTAAAGCTATGGTAGCCCACTCTTTCCATATACAGTACTGCGTAGTACTGTACCTCATGTGCAGAAAACATGTACTGTCTAATGAATGGCACAACCAAAAGGATTTCAAAATCAAATTGTTTTGATAGAATATAAACTCTTATTAAAGAACTACAGTACTAACACTGTAATTGAATTATCAATCACTTTTTAAGAAAACATTAAGTCAGACATATACCCTCAGTCCACTCTGCCTGATCTCCCTCATTCAAATTCTGTGGCTTCAAATCAAATTTCCTTTTTAATTTAGGATTTGACTCGCAAAATTGGAGAATTTGGTACTTGTCCTGATAGGTGCTTGTTACTAATTTGCATTTAGCTGGGGTATCTGCATTGCCTGATATCATAATCTCTGGTCAACACCTTGTCTTCCATACTTGTTCACTGTTTTGTACTGTGCACTCGGTCCTTCAGAATTGCAGACAGTAAATGCGCATGACGGGTGGGGACTTAGGTTCCTGTGATTGCCTCCCATGAAGCACTGAATATGCTGCTTCATGCTGTAACACATTTTCTGTTTGAGGTAGGGGCAGGAAACAAAATTTTGACCCGGCAAGTGCAGTAGCGGCGTTACAAGTTACTCGGTACGATAAGGGCATGTAAACTTAAATGGATTTAATAGGAAATTCAGCGGGACTTGGGTGGATGTAAGACTTGGGCCATTATGCGATTGATACAGATCAGATTTATGCAAGTTTTACTCCATTAATGAATGTGATGATTCAGAAATTAAACTCCAGTCTAATGTAGGCTGGTAAGGACGTCCATTAGCTATAGATTGACCTTGCTTGTGAAGAAGGTAAGCTTTCTTGCAAATGAAGACAGTGCACACAGCACAACAACAACAAGATTACATTTGTATAGCACCTTTCACGTCGAGAGGACGTCCCAAGGCACTGGACAGTGTACAGCATTTCAGACCCGAGCTGGGGTTGGTGGGGGAAGGGAGAGGAAGGGGGATGGCATGGTCTTGAGGCGGGACTTGAAGGAGGCTAAGGAGGGGGCGAGGCAGAGTGACTGGGAAACCACTGTAGCATGGGAAACCATTTCTTCTCATTTTGGTACAGTAGGGAAAGGAAATCAACCTTAAATGTAATGGCTGTTTAAAAACATTCTTTATACACAAAAATAGAACTCATTCTTTCAATGGTTGTTTGTGTCGTGTCTTCCAGTGCGTGCTGCCGCCTCAGTGCAGAAACCTGCTCAGCAAGCTGCCCAGAAAGAGACTAGTGTCCAACAGGTCAGTGTCTCTGTGGGGAATGAAGAAAGGAAGGGACAGAATTAATGTGTAATGTGTGTAATTACTGGGCCTGTGTGTCATGCGGTGTGTGTAATTACTGGGCCTGTGTGTCATGCGGTGTGTGTAATTACTGGGCCTGTATGTCATGTGGTGTGTGTAATTACTGGGCCTGTATGTCATGTGGTGTGTGTAATTACTGGGCCTGTATGTCATGTGGTGTGTGTCATTGCTGGATGGGCCTGCATGGGATGTCATAGAATCATACAGCACAGAAAGAGACCATTCGGCCTATGCTATGATTTGTAAATTTACATATTTTGTGCACAATTGAAAAAAATCACTTTTCCAGAGGTAATAATCCCTTCAAAAAAAATTAATAATAATTTTGTCACTCACTCCACAAGAGTTTATGGGACTGTTGTCCGCAATTGGCTACCATGTTTCGCCACAAAATATACAGTCAATTCAATTTAGAGTATATTTTGTGAAGCGCTTTGAGACGTCTTGAAGATGTGATAAGGCGGTATATCGTGAAGTCCTGTAGCTCAGTGGTTAGAGCACTCGCCTTGCAAGCGAGAACCTGGGTTCAGTTCCAGGCAGAGGGCGAAACTTTGGGCAAGTTTCCTTACTCCACACACCTAATAATCCTCCAAAACAAAACAATAATAAATTGGTCATTTTCAATCCACGACTGTTTGTGGGACATTGCTGTGCGCAATTGGCTGCCGCGTTTCACCCACAAATATACAGTCAATTCACTTTACATTCTATTCTGTGAAGCGCTTTGAGACGTGAAAAGCGCTATATCAAATGCAAGGATTATTATTATATCAAATGCAAGGATTATTATTATTGTCTGTTGTAATCTTGCACCTGAAAGCAATGAACTCTGTTTTTTGCTCACTGTCTGAAGGAGGAAGCAATGAGGAAGACCGGGCGTGTGGTTCACCTGACTGACCTGCCCCCCGATGGCTACACACAGAAAGATGTCTTAAAGCTGACCCAGCCATTCGGGAAAGTCACCTCCATTAAGCTGTTGCGCTCAAAAAATGAGGTAATGAAACGCAGATCAACTGGTTGTGTGTTTGCTTGCATGGGAGCAGGGTAACGTGGAATGCTAACGTGGTGCGACAGCATAGATCAGACACCCGATCAGAAATTATCCAACTCTCCAGCAGCCGGGCAGGGTTTGTGCACAAAAACAACAGATTACATGTGTATAGCGCCTTTCACGTCAAGAGGTCCAAGATATTAAAGCAGTCAAGAGTTTAGGGCCCAAGCAGGGGGTTGGGATTAGGAGCGGTGGTGGCAGGGAGGGTAGAGTTAGGAGGGTGGTCGAAGATGCGGTCGCAGAGGAGGATCTTGACGTGCCTTGAAGGAGACAAGGGAGGGAGCATGGTGAAGGAAATGTCGGATGGAGTTCCAAAGGTGGGGCCAGAGAGCCTGAAGGCTCGAACGCAGATTGTGGGTGTTCGGGCGGGGGACGTGGCAGGCCGGAGCCTGCTGAGCGGAGGGCGTGGACAGGTTGATATGCTGGTAGCAGGTTACAGAGATAGGAAGGTGCAAGGCCGTGGAAGCTTTGAAGGCGAGGATGAGGATTTTTAACTCTATCCTCTGGGGCATGGGGCCAGGCAAGGTTGGGGATGGGGAAGGCAGAGCGAGTCATGGCACGGATGTGGGATAGAAGTTGCCGTGACGGTCAAACAAGATGCCAAGGTTTCAGACTGGCTCAGTGAAGTGGAGTGTGCATGCATGAATAGTGATGCTGCCAGTGCCCGAGGTGAGGAGGCGCTGACAGGAGCCAATCAAGAGGGCCTCAATCTTGTTGTCCTTAAACTGGAGCCCTTAGCTCTCATCCTGGACTTGATGTCTGTCAGTTGTCCTGGAATCGAAGATGGAGGCAGAGAAATAGAGTTGGGTGTCATCCGCAATCATGTGGAAGTTAACCCCATATCTGCGTATGATATCACCAAAAGGGAGCGTGTAGATGTTGAAGAGGAGGGGACTGAGGACAGAGCCCCGAGGAACGCCACATAAGATGGTGGTGGGGGCTGGAGGAGAAGCACATTGGAGTGGGGACTATGGGGGGAGGGTCTGAGGTCTGTGTGGGGGTTGGGAGTGGGGCCAGGGTCTGGGGTGGTGGGTGGGGCAGTCTGGATGCATGGGGCAGGAAGTAACCCTGGGCAGAGTGTGTTGTGCTGGGGGAGGGAGATCGAGGAAAATACAAGTGTAGATTTTGGAACCCTGGGTTTGTGCCCTGTTTGCTACAGGCTTTCCTGGAGATGGCCTTCAAGGAGGCAGCAGTGGCTGTTGTGGAGTTTTATAGCATCACACCAGTGGAGATCAACCACCGGCAAGTCACCATGATGCTGCTCGGCAAGAAGAAGGAGGTTGCTAAGCTGGTAAGGAATGTCTGGCAAGACCGCAGGCAGCGTGAATATACCGGAGCGAGAGATTAGAGCAGCCTGTGTCAGCCCGTGTGTCTGTGAAAGTGTGTCTGTGTTGTGTACGAGAGCTTGCGGTCATATAAAATTAGCTACTGTAAAATATTTAACTTTTTTTTTCCTAATTAGGGTCTAAAGGAGGAACCAAAGAGCCAGGAATGCTCTGCACAGTAAGTCTGGTTATTTACAACTTAGTGATGGGTTTTGTGATCCTGGCCTCCAGGGAAAGGCTGGTAATGTCAAGTTAAAATGGGAATGTTGCTGTGAGAGACGGGAGGAATTGTGGTGTAAAGCCTCAGGTGGTATTTGGGAAAGGTGGATTATTATATTTTATGGAAGTTTTGAGGCTTGAAATCCACTTTAAGATCATTTGTCTTAAATTTAGGAGTTGTGGCAATTCTTCAATTAATAATCATAATTCTTGCATTTGGTATAGCGCCTTATCACATCTTCAAGACGTCTCAAAGCGCTTCGTAGAATATACCGTAAAGTGAATTTACTGTATATTATGTGGGCGAAACACGGCAGCCAGTTGCACACAACAATATCCCACAATAGTCGTGGATTGAGTGACCAAATTGTTATTTTATTAATTATTAATGATTTTATTATTAATTCTTTCTAAATTAGGAATCTAGTTTAAAAAAAACTGGAAAACCAGCTTCCAAACTCAAATTAAAAAATCTTAATTTTTAGTTAAGGTTGTCCTACAACAACAACAACAACAACAAGATTCCATTTATAGGGCGCCTTTCACGTCGGGAGGACATCCCAAGGCGCTGTACAGTTGGGTCAGGACCCGAGCAGGGGGGAACATGGTCAGGGTGAGGGGAGGGAAGGGAGGGGGGAGGGGATGGTCGGAGAGGGAAGGCTGAGGAAGGGCGACGGTCAAAGAGAAAGGTCTTGAGACCGGCCTTGAAGGAGGAAAGGGAGGAAGCGTCGACGGCACTGGGGATAGAGTTCCAGAGCCTCGGGCTGAGAGGCTGAAGGCCCGGCCACCGATGGTAGGGCGGTTGGGGCGGGGGATGTGGAGCAGACTGGAGCCAGAGGAACGGAGGGTACGGGCAGGTAGGTAGGGGGATAGTAGGTCAGAGAGGTAGGAGGGAGCGAGACCGTGAATGGCCTTGTAGGTGAGGGTGAGGATCTTGAATTCGATCCTCTGGGGGATGGGGAGCCAGTGGAGGCGAGCGAGGGTGGGAGTGATGTGGTCGCGAAGCCTGGTGCGGGACAGTACACGAGCTGCAGAGTTCTGAATGACCTGCAGTGTGGAGGGAGGTGCCGGGAAGGCCGGCGAGGAGAGAGTTCCCATAGTCCAGCCTTGAGGTGATAAAGGCGTGGACCAGAGTTTCAGCCGCGTGAGGGGTGAGGTAGTGCCGTAGTCTGGCGATGTTTCGGAGGTGACGGAAGGTGGTGCCAGTTGTGGCGCGGATATGAGGAAGAAAGGACAGCTCAGGGTCGAACAGAACCCCGAGGTTCCTGACTGCTTTGAGAGGTGGAGAGTGCAGCCTTGGATGCTGATGCTGTCAGCGCCTGAGGTGCGGAGGCGCTGACGTGAGCCAATCAGGAGGGCCTCAGTTTTATGCACGTTGAGCTGAAGAAAGTTGTCTCTCGTCCAGGACTCGATGTCGGACAGGCAGCTGTCAGGACATCGGTGGTCGTGGAGTTGAGAGTAGAGGAGGAAAGGTAGAGTTGGGTGTCACCGCATACATGTGGAAGTTAACTCCATGTCTGCGGATGATGTCACCACAGGGGGAGCATATAGAGGGTGAAGAGGAGGGGACCGAGGACAGAGCCCTGAGGGACACCGCACGAGACAGGACTAGGTGGAATTCCATGCCATTAGAGTCCTGTAATGTTGTGGTTAGAGCACTCGCAAGCAAGAGGACCTGTGTTCGATTCCCGGGCAGGAGAAACAGTAGGCAAGATTCCTTACTCCACATGCCTCTGTTTACCTAGGAGTAAGTAGGAACCCGGTTGACAGTCAATTGACAAATCGCTTTTCCATGGGTAATAAACCCTTACAAATAAATAAATAATGATAAATTCATGACTGTTTTTTGGGACACTGCTGTGCGCAATTCTGCCGAGTTTCAACAACAAGAACAACAACAACTTGGATTTATATAGCTCCCTCCACGCCGGATGGCGTCTCATAGTGCTTCACAGTAACGGATCCCAGCGCCGAGTCAGGGGGATAGGGAGGAAGAGTGTCATCCACATACATGTGGAAGTGTACCCCATGTCTGCAGATGACATCCCGAAGAGGGAACATGTAGATCAGAAAGAGGAGGGGGCCAAGGATGGATCCTTGGGATACCCACAGGTAACTGGGTGAGAGTGGGAGGAGAAGCCGTTTGTGCAGATGTACTGCTGGCAGTTTGTGAGGTAGGACTTGAACCAGGCGAGTGCGTTCCCGCTGAGGTGAATGACGGAGGAAAGGTAGTGGAGGAGGATGGCGTGATCGACTGTCGAACGAGGCAGAGAGGTCCAGGAGGACAAAGGCAGAGGGAGCTCTGGTCACAGATAGAGAGGATGTCATTTGTTACTTTCACAAGTGCAGTCTCTGTGCTGTGGGCGGAAACCGGACTGGAGGGTTTCGAAGAGGGAGTGGGAGAAGAGGTGTTTGCGGAGTTGATTTGCAACAACAGATTCTAGGACTTTTGCGAGGAAGGGCAGGTTAGAAATAGGGCGCTAGTGGCTGGGGTTTGAGGGATCTAGGGAAGGTTTTTTGAGGAGGGGGGTGATGACAGCAGTTTTAAGGGGGACACGGAGTGATCCGGAGGAGAGGGGCTGGTTGATGACATCAGCCAGTAGTGGGCAGAGGAGGGAGAGCTGTGTAACCAGCAAGTTGGTGGGGAGGGGGTCAAGGCAGCAGGTGGTTGGTTTCATTGAGGTGATGGTGGGTGAGAGGGAGGAGGGAGAGATGGGGAGGAAGGAATGTAGGATGGGGGTCATGGTAGGAGCTGATGATGGGGAGGGTGAGGGGACAGAGAGGGCATGATGGTGGGTGACAAGAGGCAGGTGGATGAGGCTGCCTGGCGGATGTTGTGTATTTTAGATGAAAAGAAGTCCACTTGCACTTGGCATTGGATAATATGAAGATTGAGGAGGCCTGTGGGGGGAGCACGGAGGAGGTAGTGGGTGGTGGGGAAAAAAGGATTTTAGGGCTTTTAGCCTCCAAGATGATGTTGGAGTAGAGGGCCGTTTTTGCACTTGTCAAAGAACGGCGGTAACTGTGGAGATGTTCGAGCCACAGTTGGCGGTGAACTATCAGGCCAGTTTTCCGCCATCCGTGCTTAAGCAGTGGGTTTGGGTTTTTAGGCAGTGGAGATGGTTGTTGTACCAGGGGGATCGGGTGGGTTTGGATATGGTCCTGGATTTCAGGGGGACGAGGGAGTTGAAGGTGGAGGAGAGGCGATCATGGAGCAGCTGGACCGCTGCTCCAGCATCTCCGCGGATAGAAGATTTGACCCACAAAATATTTCACCCTCAAAATATAGTCAATTCACATTACAGTATATTCTGTGAAACGCTTTGAGATGTCTCGAAGATGTGATAAGGCACTATATCAAATGCAAGGCTTATTATGTGGCCTCAAGTGGACAAATGCTGCAATCAGCAAGAGAACTGATGGCAGATATCCATCCATATTTTTCTGACACCCCTTTCTTACATGTTCTTTGCTCCATGTTTCTTCTGAGCATTATTGCTGAGATTGGAGGCTCAGGAGCTGAACTTGAATCTGTCACCACTTTCACCATGTAGTGCACGTGCCACCGGCGTTAACTTTTAGCACAGACTCCAAATGGATGTGGGGCAGGGACTCTGTACATTCTGTCAGCATGGAAACAGGCCATTCGGTATAATTAGTCCTTGCTAATGTTTACCCTCCACATAAGTCTCCACCCATTCCTTTGCTAATTCTATTGGTTTCCTTGCCTAGTGGAATTCTCAGCCCTACAGGCCTAAATGGTATCAAACTGTAAACAATGATAGGAGTGAGGGAGGGGAACTCATCAGCAGATCAGCACTCAACACTTACACAGGGTAATGATGACCAGTGCCAAGATGGCTTGAGGAAACTGCTTGTTTTAGGTTGGGGCTAAAAGAGCATATCTAATATTTCCTTTTTCTCTGCCTTTTTTAGGAAAGATGTAGCCCTTTTAGAGGCGAGTGGTGACTTACAGGACACAACAGAAACTTCAACTGATATTGGTAATTATTGGATGGAGAAAGCTTCTGTAAAGTCTCTCATTAATGAAATCTTCAGTACATGGGAGGGGCATGATTCTGTGGTAATTGCTAATGATTAAATCCAGATCCTCTGATTGCAGTAAGACGGTGGGTGGGAGGTGGGTGGCGGGTGTTACTGTGTGTTGTAATAGGACGGGGTGGGGTGGGGGCGGGTCTCTTGCCGGGTTTGATTCCTGGCAGGACAAAACCTTGGGCAAGTTTCCTTATTCCACTTCCCTGATAATAATCCCTCAAGAATATTTCAGTCACTTTGTTTGTTCAGTAACTAGTGATGTCTCTGATCCCAGTGTGGTGAGAGCTGAGCTGTTCTGTGTACCTTGTGTTTCTGGCAGTGATGATTGGCGCAGGGGTACTTACCTCAGCTGGATAATGGGAGCTGAGTGCTTGCGTCTTCTGCTCAGCCTACGTGTGGTGGGCTGATCAAGGAGCGTCTGCACGAGAAAAACGCCTATATCTGAGCCAGGGCTGCTGAGAGACCGCGTGAGATTTGTTTGAAGGGAAATGCAGAATTAACAGAAACTGAGTGTGAGGAATCCCTGCTGCCAGTCTGCATCTTGAGTCCTGCCGATGAGCCAGGGTAGTGGTGCTGATCCTGTTCACATGATTCTTACTGAACTGCTTCCCCAGTTCTCCTTCCTGGTTCCGTGCTTATGTCCGTGCAGCAGAAGGGTTTCCTTCAGCACATTTGCAAGTCCTGGTACCTACCATCCATCTAGCGAGGTTCAAACCTGCACTTTGTTGGAGGTAATGAATACCTCTAATGAGGTAAACGGGGTCTTCTTGGAGCTGAACTGGCAATGGAATGTCGGAATCGAGCCAGCCCTCTGGTGGTCTGGGTAGTCCAATTCCTGAGCCAGGTGGGTCCACAGTATTCCAGGGCACTGCTGATGACAGCACAGCCAGCCTGGCTCATCGGCCGGACCTGGAAGGATGGACCAGTCTTTGGGGACAAACAGTCATCCCAATCAGCTCTGTTAACCCTGCAACTCAAAGCCCTAACAGGTAGGATGGTCCAAGCTGGACAAGCAGTGGAAAAGCTTGCCAGACAGCGATATCAATGAAGCTATGTGGTTTTAGTTGATTAACTGTAGCCCAGTGGTTACAGCACACGCCTTGCAAGCAAGAGATCTGGGTTTGATTCCCGGCAGGGCGAAACCTTGGACAAGTTTCCACATGCCTGATAATATTCCCTCAAGAACAAAAAATAATAAGAATTTGGTCACTCAATCCACGACTGCTTGTGGGACACTGCTGTGCGCAATTGGCTGCCACGTTTCGCCCATAAATATACAGTCAATTCACTTTACAGTATACTGTGAAGTGCTTTGAGACACCTAGAAGATTGAAAAGCGCAAATACAAGGATTATTATTTATTATTAAACAGCAGTTACCCCAACACACATTCTAGGCTATGTAAACCTTGGCTTTTGCCAATCTGCACCTAATACTCTCCGGAATTAGGTAAACAGGGTGCGTCCCTCCAGGAACAAAACAACAACAACAAAATTACATTTATTGAGCGTTTTTCACGTCGGGAGGACGTCCCAAGGCACTGGACAGTCGGGTTAGGATCCGAGCATGGGATAGGGGTAGGGGTGAGGGAAGGCAGAGAGGTGTGAGGGTGACCGAATCCACGATCGAAGAGGAGGGTATTGAGACCAGCCTTGAAGGAGGCGAGGGAGGAAGCGAGGCAAAGGGATCGTGGGATGGAGTTCCAGAGTGTGGGGGCAGAGAAGCTGAAAGCTCGGCCACCATTGGTAGGGAGGGTCGGGCGGGAGACATGGAGCAGACCGGAGCCCGCCGAACGGAGGGAGTGGGCAGGTTGGTAGGGAGTCAGCAGGTCAGAGAGGTAGGAGGGGGCAAGGCCATGGATGGCCTTGAAAGTGAGGATGAAGATCTTGAATTCCATTCTCTGGGGATGGGGAGCAGTGGAATCTGGCGAGGGTGGGAGTCATGGGGTCATGGAGACTGGGGCGTGAGAGTACACAAGCTGCAGAGTTTTGAATGATCTGCAGCTTGTGAAGAGAGGAGTTGGGAAGGCCGATGAGGAGGGAATTTCCATAATCGAGTCTTGATGTGACGAATGTATGGGTGAGGGTTTCGGCAGCCTGAGGGGTGAGGCAGTGGCGGAATCTGGCAATGTTGCGGAGGTGATGGTAGGCAGTGCCGGTCATGGCGCGGATGTTGGGGTGAAAGGACAGTTCGGGGTTCAGGATCAAACAAGACACCCAGGTTCCTGACTGGCTTAGTGAGGTTGAGTGTGCAGCCGTGGAAGCTGATGCTGCCAGCGCCCGAGGTGTGGAGGCGCTGGCGCGAGCCAATCAGGAGGGCCTCGGTCTTGCTGACGTTCAGCTGGAGAAAGTTGTCCCTCACCCAGGACTTGATGTCGGACAGGCATTCGGTCAGGACACCAGTTGTCCTGGAGTTGAGGGTGGAGGCAGAAAGATAGAGTTGAAATTTACCCCATGTCTGCGGATGATGTCACCAAGGGGGAAGAGAGTGTAGAGGAAGAGAGTGCATTCCAATTCAGACACCGGAAATTTCCATATGTAAGTGGCATACATATGTGCAACTATGTCTGATTTGGATATATAAGCATTGTGATGGGTTTCCACATCAATGCAGGGATTATTATTATGTCACACACCCAGTTTACCAAAGCTAATGTGTTCAGCTTACAATTTTGTTTTTGCTTTTCTAGAGCTGGCGTGTGAAGGGTTTGCTTCTGTGGAGAAGAATTCCGAGGTCAGTCCACTTTCAGCTGTTTGGTTGGTGAAAACCTGAATGAACTGTTAGCACAATAGATTCTGAGTTTGAAAACGAAAATCTATTTTCTCCACATGTAAATGGTTTGTGTGGTTATAATTGGTAATGGATGATCCCGATATTGACATACTGTGATCCTCAGCATGAGGCACAACAAATTACATTTATATCCGCCTTTCATGTCAGGGGGGCTTCCCAAGCAGCTGGCGAGTTAGAGATTTGGATCCAAGCAGTGGGGTGGGATCAGGGAGGGTGGAGGGCAGGGAGGGTTGGCGGTAGGAGGTTGACCAAAGGCGCAGTTGAAGAGGAGGGTCTTGAGACGTGCCTTGAAGGAGGCAAGGGAGGGGCCTTGGCAAAGGGATTGTGGGATGGAATTCAAAAGGGTGGGGGCAGAGGGGCTGAAGGCCCGACCACTGATGGTGGGGCGGGCCGGGCAAGTTCGTGGAGCAATTCTTTATACAAACCCCCCTCAATTCAATTCCAGACTGTAACTCACTTCTGGAGATCTGAACAATCCAAGCACCCTCAATTAGACTCTAGCCTGTTTCTCTCGATCTGGTGTGTGTGTTATATATCAGTGTATAGGTGTACAATCGGAGAGTCTTCTGACCCTTTATGCTCTGCATTGGGGTGTGTTATGTGTAAACCAAGTACAGGACCCTCTGGAAATCTAGAGCTTCTCCCTCCTGACTCACAGCAGAGTGACAGTCATAGTGCTTCAGCACACCTCCCAAGCGCCTCACCTCACGACAATAACCTGCAAATCAAACTTTCAATTCAACAAGCTACAATACAAATTTACATTTACACAGCGCCACTCACAACAGGAGGTTGTTCCACAGTCCTGACATAGCACCTGAGCTGAGGGTGGGAGCTGAGTGGGAGAGGAAGAGTAAAATGACTGAAAGCGTGGTCAAGTTGTGTGAAGGTAGCGGTTCTGGTCATGAGCCTGAATGAGCAGTACCTTCTCCACATTCTGAAGCTACTTGCTGGAACAGTTCAGGTAACTTCTTGAAGAGTGGCTAACGGGTAGAAAACAGAGAGTAGGGATAAATGGGCCATTCTCGAATTGGCAGGATGTGACTAGTGGAGTGCCACAAGGATCAGTGCTTGGGTCTCAGCTATTTACAATTTACATCAATGATCTAGACGAGGACATTGATTGTAACGTATCTAAATTCGCGGATGACACTAAACTAGGTGGGAGAGTAAGCTCTGAGGATGATGCAAAAAGATTGCAACGGGATATAGATAGGCCTGGGGAGTGGGCGAGTATGTGGCAGATGGAATTTAATGTGGGGAAGTGTGAAGTTATTCACCTAGGTAGACAAAATAGAAAAACAGATTATTTTCTAGAGGGGGAGAGCTTAGATAGTGTTAGTGTTCAGAGGGATTTGGGTGTCCTTGTACACCAGTCTCAAAAAGTTAGTTTGCAGGTGCAGCAAGCAACTAAGAAGGCGAACGGCATGTTAGCGTTCATTGCAAAAGGTTTAGAGTTCAAGAGTAAGGAAGTCTTGCTGCAACTGTATAGGGCCTTGGTGAGACCGCACCTAGAGTATTGTGTGCAGTTTTGGTCCTTATTTAAAAAGGACATACTTGCCCTGGAGGGGGTGCAGTGTAGATTCACTCGGTTAGTTCCTGGGATGAGGGGACTGACCTATGAGGATAGGCTGAATAAACTAGGGCTGTATTCTCTAGAGTACAGAAGAATTAGGGGAGATCTTATTGGAACATATAAGATTCTTAAATGGTTGAATAAAGTAGACACTGAGGGTCTGTTTCCCCTGGTAGGAGAATCTATAAACAGGGGTCACAGTCTTAAAATTAAGGGTCAGCCTTTTAGAGCAGAGTTGAGGAAACATTTCTTCACTCAGAGGATAGTGAATTTATGGAATTCACTACCCCAGAAGGCTGTAGATGCTCAGTCCTTGAACATCTTCAAGGCTGAGACCGATAGATTTTTAAAAAACAGAGGGATTAGGGGATATGGGGATAGTGCCGGTAACTAGAGTTAGGTCTGAAGATCAGCCATGATCTTATCGAATGGCGAGGCACAGGCTCGAGGGGCCGAATGGCCTACTCCTGCTCCTAATTCTTATGTTCTTATGTTTATTTGACTTGCAGAGTGTTAACTTGAATGAGAAAGGTCGGGTTATCCGCATCAACAATCTCCCTGCGAAAGGTTACAAAGAGGATGACCTAAAACGGCTGGCCAAGCCCTTCGGACAGGCTATCACCGCAGTTATCACATACTCCAGAAACCAGGTGACTCTTCCTTCCGCGTCAGCTACCCTGCACAGCAACGTTAGTCGCCATTGTTTGTTTTGCTGTAAAATTCGTTCTGTAAGGCAGTTATTGGGTTGTTGATGTTTTGTGGAGTCCTGCAGCGTATTGGTTAGAGCACTCGCCTGGCAAGTGAGAGGACCCGGGTTCGATTTCTGGGTAAGGCAAAACCTTAGGCAAGTTTCCTTACTCCACACATCTCTGTTTACCTAGCAGTAAGTAGGAACTTGGTTGTTAGTTGATTGGCAGATCGCTTTCCGGCATTAATAATCACTTCAGAAATAATTAATTAAACCTAATTAATTATTTGGTCATTCATTATTTGTAGAACACTACTGTGCGTAATTGGCTGCCGGGTATCGCCCACAAAATATACAGTCAATTACCTTTACAGCATATTCTGTGAAGAGCTTTGAGGCGTTTCAACGACACGATAAGGTGCTATATTATTAATAATAAAGAATTGATTAGTACTCTGCATTTCTGGGGGTGAGAGATTATCATTTTTATCGCCATCCCAGCCAACAATAATTTGTTCACCTCGGGGCTGATTCTAGGACCCTCAACTACACTTGACAATATGACAGTGACATTCTTTGAGATTTCAGTGTGATGAGGGTCCTTAACGGCACAAGTACTTTCTTTAACATGTGGCTGACAGCTTGACTGTCTTTGTCTTGGGAGGGTAAAACGTTGCAAGGTTGATTATGACACTTGGTGAACCTTGTTTTTGTTGACAGGCATATCTGGAAATGGGCTGTGCAAAATCAGCAGCTAAAATGGTGGAGTTTTACAGCCTGTCTACCATCAAACTGAAGGGGAATCCTGTCAGCATGGAGATCCTGCCTCAGTACATGGACCTGAGTGACATGGTGAGGAGCATTGGGTGTAATCATCTGTTACACATCCTCTTTATACAGAATGACAACGGATATGGTCAAGGATGTTCAAGTAGTTTACGGGATACGTGCACACATTACGCATTGGAGTCCTAGAGTACTGCTTAGCGCAGTTGCCTCACAAGCGAGATGACCCAGGTTCAATTTCCGGGCAGGGCGAAACGTTGGGCAAGTTTCCTTACTCCACATGCCTCTGTTTACTTAGCAGTACATAAGTACCCAGTAATTAGTCAGTTAGCGGATTGCTTTTCCAGGGGTAATAATCATTCGAGAAAAAATTAATAATTTGGTCACTCAATCCACAACTGTTTATGGGACACAATTGGCTACCACCTTTCACCCAGAAAATATAGTCATTCACTTTACAGTATTTTCTGTGCAGCGCTTTGAGACGTCTCAAAGACGTGATAAGGTGCTATATCAAATGCAAAGATTTGTATTATTATTCATTAACAATTTTAACATTTTAATGCTGATATAGCAGCAGCAAGGTTACACAGTGGTACAAGTGCTCAGCGGGTTTCTGTTGGACTGTTTAGCAAAGGAACATTCCTATGATGCATTATTTTTATGTCAAGAACAACTCCCGTGATGTTTCATTAGCAAGGGAGAGAAGGGGGAATGGAGAGGAATTTCTCTTATACAGAGGGTTATTTTAAATGGATAAAGTGAGGAGACCAGGAAACAGGATGTAAATGAGCTTTCAGGAGGGAATGAGATAGATAGCAAAAGAGGAATAATCTGCAAGAGGATGATAAAAAGGCAGGTTAGTGGCATGAATGGATTGCTTTCAGCCCTGCCACAATAGGCAGAAAGACCACCTTCAGTGCTGAAAATGTCTGGTTATTTGGGGAAACTGAGCAAATATTTAATTTCTGTGGCAAGTGGAAGGTGTGTGCCTTCTCACAGCTGTGGTGATGCACACTAACACCCTCTATTTGGTTTTCTCTCTCCAGGAGGTTATATTTAAAGATATGATTGAAGCAGCTGGTTTTAAAGCTGAAGTAAGTATGCTGCTGATTATAACCCTGTATTCTATTCCTAGTCAGGAGCACCGACTCATATTACTTGAAATTGTCTAATTCTGGTTTCGGCTTATTCCTCGTTTCCTCCGTCATACCCTCTGTGGCTGAGCCTTCAGTCACGATATCTAAACTCCGGAAATCTCTTCCAATATCTCTTCACCTTGCTTCCTTTAACTTAAAACTCATAGAAGTTTTTTTGACCTCGTTTTATTTAATTCTCCCTGCCGTTGCTCACTTTCATATTGGTGAATCACTTTCAACCATTCATTTGACATGAATGTAAGTTGTTGTAGCATATAACATGACTGTACATAGAGACTATACAGTCACAATACGTTATAGTAAATCCGGTCCAGCACTTTGAGATATCCTGCCTACCCGCACACCCCAGCACACACACACGATGTGAAAGACACTATACCAAATGTAAAGCTGATGATTGTATTGTGCTTTTGCTACTAATCTGGATCCATGTTAGCTTGATATCTGGCCTCACCAGGTTCAGCATCATCTGTAACATGTAACAAAAACAACAACAAGATTCCATTTATAAAGCGCCTTTCACGTCAGGAGGACGTCCCAAGGCGCTGCACAGTTGGGTCATGACCCGAGCAGGGGGGAAATGGTCAGGGTGAGGGGAGGGAAGGGAGGGAGCAAGGAGGGGGGAAATGGTCAGGGTGAGGGGAGGGAAGGGAGGGAGCGAGGAGGGGAAGAGAGTCGAGAGGGGAGCTGAAGGCACGGTCAAAGAGAAAGGTTTTGAGACCGGCCTTGAAGGAGGAAAGGGAGGAAGCGGCGAAGGCACTGGGGGATGGAGTTCCAGAGCCTGGGGCTGAGAGGCTGAAGGCCCGACCACCGATGGTAGGGCGGTTGGGGCGGGGGACGTGGAGCAGACCGGAGCCAGAGGAACGGAGGGTACGGGCAGGTAGGTAGGGGGATAGTAGGTTGGAGAGGTAGGAGGGAGCAAGGCCGTGAATGGCCTTGTAGGTGAGGATGAGGATCTTGAAATCAATCCTCTGGGGGATGGGGAGCCAGTGGAGGCGAGCGAGGGTGGGAGTGATGTGGTCCCGAAGCCTGGTGCGGGACAGTACACGAGCTGCAGAGTTCTGAATGACCTGCAGCTTGTGGAGGGAGGTGCCGGGAAGGCCGGCGAGGAGAGAGTTCCCATAGTCCAGCCTTGAGGTGACAAAGGCGTGGACCAGGGTTTCAGCAGCGTGAGGGGTGAGGTAGTGCCGTAGTCTGGCGATGTTCCGAAGGTGATGGAAGGCGGTGCCAGTTGTGGTGCGGATGTGAGGGAGAAAGGACAGCTCAGGGTCGAACAAAACGCCGAGGTTCCTGACTGGCTTTGAGAGGTGGAGAGTGCAGCCTTGGATGCTGATGGTGTCAGCGCCTGAGGTGCGGAGGCGCTGACGTGAGCCAATCAGGAGGGCCTCGGTTTTTCGCACGTTGAGCTGAAGAAAGTTGTCTCTCGTCCAGGACTCGATGTCGGACAGGCAGGCTGTCAGGACATCGGTGGTCGTGGAGTTGAGAGTAGAGGAGGAAAGGTAGAGTTGGGTGTCATCCGCATACATGTGGAAGTTAACTCCATGTCTGCGGATGATGTCACCGAGGGGGAGCATATAGAGGGTGAAGAGGAGGGGACCGAGGACAGAGCCCTGAGGGACACCACATGAGACAGTACGGGGGGTGGAGGAGAAGCCATTCGTTGAGACAAAGTGAAGACGGTGAGAAAGGTACGACCTAAACCATTCAAGGACAGTGCCTTGAAGGTTGAGGTGGGAGGACAAGCGGTGGAGTAGGATAGCGTGGTCGACCGTATCGAATGCTGCCGATAGGTCGAGGAGGACGAGGAGACAGAGGGAGCCCTGGTCACAGATGGTCAGGATATCATTGGTGACCTTGACCAGGGCAGTTTCTGTGCTATGGGCAGCACGGAAACCTGACTGAAGGGGTTCAAAAAGAGAATGGGTGGAAAGGAAAGAGCGCAGTTGGGAGGCGACAACTCTTTCCAAGACCTTGGAGAGAAAGGGGAGGTTGGAGATGGGCCGGTAGCTTGATAGCTGCGACGCATCAAGGGAGGGTTTTTTCAGGGTGGGCGTGATGATGGCAGTTTTTAATGGAATGGGGACAGAGCCAGAGGAGAGGGACAGGTTGATGATGTCAGTGATATGTGGGGCAAGAAAGTGGAGCTGGGAGATAAGGAGTGGAGTGGGGATGGGGTCAAGGGAGCAGGTGGTTGGTTTTAGGGATAGGATGAGTTCAGTGACAGAGGGTGGGGAAACGGGTACGAAGGTGTGTAGGGGAGGATGGGTAGGAGTCGGAGTGTGGGAGGGAAGGGGTGGGGGGTGGGTGGAAGTTGGAGGGGAAGTGACCGCGGAGCGGATTCCCTTGATCTTGGATTCAAGGAAATCCAGCATCTCCTCGCAGTGAAGGTTGGAGGAGATGACCTGCGCGGGGTGGCGGGGGGACGGAGGAGTCGGGTTGTGGTGGAAAACAGTAGCCTGGGGTTGTTCTTCGCCTCCAGGATTATCCTGGAGTAGAAGGACGACTTGGCCGAGGCTAGAGTGGAGCGGTAAATTTTGAGGAGGTCCAGCCAGATTTGTCGGTGGACCGTTAGGCCAGATTTGACACAGGTGCGTTCAGCAGCCCGCACCTGGCTTTTCAGTGAGCGGAGGTGGGTGGTGTACCAGGGGGAGGAGCGGGAGTAGGAGACAGTGCGGGAAGTGATGGGGGCAAGAGTATCGAGTGTGGAGGAGAGGGTATTGTGGAGGAGGGAGAGAGGAGAAGAGGGGTCAGTGAGGGTTGAAGGCCAGAGGGAGAGGAGTTCAGAAGACCACTCTATGTCACATGTAACACTCTATGTCACAGTGACACATCGTGACCTCATGCCCTTCACTGTCCCAGTTCTTGATCTGAGCTATAGTGTGACCAAACTATCTGTTCCTAATCTTTTTACCTGCTACAGATGCTTATTTCTCTGATCTCCTCACTTTATCCATGTAGGACGGTTGCACTATATTTGACCACTTGGTTCATGTGAGCAATCTACCGGAAGACGGCTACACCGAAGTTGACATCCTATGTATTGCTTTTCGATTTGGATGTGTGAAGGACTCCATGTTCCTGAGCCCACAGAACAAGGTAATGCGATGCGCATGTTTGTACCAGTGACCAAAATAAATTCAGCACATTTCTGTGGCTTGGAGGCAGCCAAAGGCTGGTTTTCAGGAAGACTTTACTCATTCCTATAAAAACAGAAGTCACTGGGAACACTCAGCAGGTGAGGCAGCATCTATGGAGAAGGTTCATTCAGTCCCTCGAGTCTATTCCGTCATTCTATTAGACCATAGCTGATCTATACCTCAGCTCCATTTACCTGCCTTTGCCCCATATCCATAACTAGGGGTAAGAAGCTTGGCAAAGCAGATAAGGAATCAGAGAATAGAGGAAATGGTAGGAAATTAAAAATGTTATATCTGAATGCACAAAGCATTCAGAATAAAAATGATGAATTAAAAGCACAGATCAACACATCTGGGTATGATCTAGTAGCCATCACTGAAACATGGTTACAAGGAGATCTAGGGTGGGAGTTAAATATTCCAGGGTTCTCAGTTTACAGGAAAGATAGGCACTGTGGGAAACGAGGTGGGGGGTAGCACTGTTAATTAGGGATGAAATAAACGCAGTGGAGAGGAAGGATCTGAAATCCGATGACCAGGAGGTAGAGACAATATGGGTGGAAATAAAAAATAATATGGGGCAGAAAATATTAATGGGAGTGGTTTATAGACCCCCAAACAGTGATCACAATATAGCACAGGGTATTAATCAAGAAATCAGTGGATCATGTAGGAAAGGTAAAGCGATAATAGTGGGTGATTTCAATCTCCACGTAGATTGGGAAAACCAAATCGGCAAAAGTAGGCTAGAAGAGTTCATTGAGTGTAAGAGAGATAACTTTCTAGAGCTGCATGCCGAGGAACCAACTGGAGGACAGGCCATCCTAGGCCTTGTTTTGTATAACAAAACAGGGCTAGTTGGCAGTGTAGGTATTAAAGACTCCTCTAGGGCAGAGTGATAACAAAATGATTGAATTCTGCATTAACTTAGAGAGGGATATAGTTAAATCCGAGGCAAGTATTCTGAATTTAAATCAGGCTAATTTTGTAGGTACGAGGAAAGATTTAGGTAAAATAGACTGGAGAATCAGATTAAGAGGTAAAAATGTAGATCAACAGTGGCAAATATTTAAGGATGTAGTGCATAATTCTCAGCAGTCGCATATTCCCTTGCAGAATAAGAGTACCTCGGGGAAAGCAATTCATCCGTGGCTAACTAGAGCAGTTAGGGAAAGCATCAAATTAAAAGAAAAAGCTTATAAAACTGCCAAGAAAAGCAGCAAATCTGAAGACTGGGAGAGTTTTAGAAACCAGCAAAAAAAACTAAGAAACTCATTAAGAGCGAGAAAGAGGAGTATGAGGGTAAGCTAGCTAGGAACATTAAGTCAGATTGTAAAAGTTATTACAAATACATTAAGAGGAATAGGCTAGTGAGGGTAAATGTAGGACCACTTCAGTCAGAGACGGGAGAAGTTGTAATGGGGGATAAGGACATGGCAGAGTCTCTAAATGGATATTTTGCATCTGTCTTCACCCTAGAAGACACAGCAAGTCTTGCACCAAGGGGATAAGGACTGGGAGAAACTTAGGGAAATTTTCATTAGTAGAGAATTGGTGCTAGGGAAACTGTTAGCACTAAAAAGTAACAAATCCCCTGGTCCGGATGGTTTGCATCCCAGGGTTTTAAAAGAGGTAGCTTATGAGATAGTGGAGGCCTTGTGTCTGATCTTCCAAAATTCCTTGGATTCTGGAGTAGTCCCCATGGATTGGAAGATCGTAAATGTCACACCACTATTTAAAAAAGGTGGGAAGGAAAAGATGGGGAACTATAGGCTAGTTAGTCTCACATCAGTGATAGGAAAAATTTTAGAATCGTTGAAGGAGTCCTGTAGCTCAGTGGGTAGAGCACTCGCTTTCCAAGCGAGAGACCTGAGTTCAATTCCAGGCAGAGGGCGAAACCTTGGGCAAGTTTCCTTACTCCAGACACCTAATAATAATCCCTCCAAAAAAACAAAAAACAATAATAAATTGTTCATTTTCAATCTACGACTGTTTGTGGGACATTGCTGCGCGCAATTGGCTGCCGCGTTCGCCCACAAATACACAGTCAATTCACTTTACAGTATGTTCTGTGAAGCACTTTGGGACGTCCTCCCGACATGAAAAGCGCTATATCAAAATGCAAGGATAGGATTAAGGATGTAGTAGTGCGGTATTTAGGGGAGCACAATATAATTAGGCCAAGTCAACATGGCTTTACGAAAGGGAAGTCATGTTTGACAAATCTCATAGAATTTTTTGAGGATATTTCGAGTAAGCTAGATAAGGGTAAATCAGTGGATGTGGTCTATTTGGACTTCCAGAAGGCATTCGATAAGGTGCTGCACAAAAGCTAGTCCAAAAGATAGGGGCCCACGGAATTGGGGGGGAGCATATTAACGTGGATTGGGGAATGGTTAACGGGTAGGAAACAAAGAGTAGGGATAAATGTGTCCTTTTCGGATTGGCGGGATGTGACTAGTGGAGTGCCACAAGGATCAGTCCTTGGGCCTCAGCTATTTACCATCTACATCAACGATCTAGATGAGGACATCGAAGTTTAATATATCTAAATTCGCGGGTGACAAACTAGGAGGAAGTGTCAACACAGAGGATGACATTAAAAAAATCCAGCGAGACATAGATAGGTTAGGTGATTGGGCAGGTAGGTGGCAGATGAAGTATAATGTAGGGAAGTGCAAAGGTAGCAAAAACAGTAGAGCGGGTTATTTTTTTAGAAGCGGAGAGATTGGAATGTGTTAGCGTCCAGAGGGACTTGGGTGTCCTTGTACACCAATCACAGAAAGTTAGTCTGCAGGTGCAGCAAACAATTAGGAAGACGAATGGTATGTGAGCTTTCATTATGAAAGGATTAGAGTATAAGAGTAGGGAAGTCTTGCTGCAACCGTATAGGGCCCTGGTGAGACCACACCTGGAATACTGTGTGCAGTTTTGGTCTCCTTATTTAAGGAAGGATGTACTTGCCTTGGAGGGGGTGCAGCGAAGATTTACTAGGTCAGTACCTGGAATGAAGGGGATGAGTTTCGAGGATAGGCTGACCAATTGGGGCCTATATTCTCTAGAATATAGAAGAATTAGAGGGGATCTTATAGAAACCTATAAGATCATCAAAGGGTATGATAGAGTAGATAGTGGGAGATTGTTCCCACTGGTTGGAGAAACTAAAACCAGGGGTCACAACCTTAAAATCAGAGGTCAGCCCTTTCGCACTGAGTTGAGGAAGAACTTCTTCACTCAAAGGGTGGTGAATGTATGGAACTCGCTACCCCAAAGGGCTGTTGACGCTCAGTCCTTGAACATATTCAAGACTGAGATAGATATGTCCTTTTTTAAATAAGGAGACCAAAACTGCACACAATACTCTAGGTGCGGTCTCACCAAAGCCCTATACAGTTACAGCAGGACTTCCCTACTCTTATATTCTAAACCTTTCGAAATGAACGCTAACATGCCGTTCGCCTTCTTAGTTGCTTGCTGCACCTGCAAACTAACTTTTTGGGACTGGTGTACAAGGACACCCAAATCTAACTTTTCCCCTTCCAGAAAATAATCTGTTCTTTTATTCTTGCTACCTAGGTGAATAATTTCACATTTGCTAACATTGAATTCCATCTGCCACCTACTTGCCCACTCCCCTAGCCTATCTATATCTTGTTGCAATCTTTTTGCATCATCCTGAGAGCTCACTCTGCTACCTAGTTTAGTATCATCCGCGAATTTAGACACATTACATTCAATGTCCTCGTCCAGATCATTGATGTAAATGGTAAATAGCTGAGGCCCAAGCACTGATCCTTGTGGCACTCCACTAGTTACATCCTGCCAATTCGAGAATGATCCGTTTATCATTACTCTCTGCTTTCTACCCGATAGCCACTCTTCTATCTATGTTAATATTTTCCCATTAATCCCGTGGGCCTTGATCTTGAGGGATCAAATATAGGTATACCAAATATACCACATCTACTGGTTCCCCCTTATCCAACCTGCTGGATACATCCTCAAAAAATTCTAAAAGATTAGTCAAGCATGACTTCCCTTTTGTAAAGCCATGTTGACTGCCTAATCTTTTTATGGTCTTCCAGGTATCCCATAACTACGTCTTTTATTAAGGACTCAAGAATTTTCCCTACAACTGACGTCAAACTAACTGGTCTATAGTTTTCCCTATTTTCTCTCCCACCCTTCTTAAATAGTGGAGTTACGTTTGCAATCTTCCAATCAATGGGAACTTTTCCAGTATCCACAGACTTTTGGAAGATTATAGACATGCCATCCACTATCTCAGTAGCCACCTCCTTTAAAACTCTCGGATGCAGGCCATCCGGTCCAGGGGATTTATCGGTTTTAAGACCCGACAATTTACCTAGAACCATCTCTTTACTAATGTTAATCTCCCTAAGTTGCTCGCTAACATTGTCTTCTTGGTCCTCTATTTTTGGTATGTTTCCAGTGTCTTCTACGGTGAAGACTGTAGAAAAATACTTGTTTAATGACTCTGCCATGTCTTTGTCCCCTATTATAATTCCTCCGGTCTCTGCCTGTAATGGACCCACATTCACCCTCGCTAGCCTTTTCCTCTTTATATATTTGTAAAAACTCTTGGAGTCTGTTTTTATGTTCTTTGCTAGTTTGCCCTCGTAATCTATTTTCTCCCTCTTGATCAATTTTTTGGTCCTCCTCTGTTGTTCCCTAAAGTTCTCCCAATCCTCGGGTTTACTACTCATCTTCGCTGTTTTATAGGCTTTTTCTTTTGATTTGATACTTTCCCTAACTGCTCTAGTTAGCCATGGCTGCACCACCTTTCCCATGGCATTCTTATTCCTCAAAGGAATATGTGCTCGTTGGGAATTTTGCACTATCTCCTTGAATGTCTGCCATTGCTGGTCTACCGTCAAATCTTTAAGTTTAGTCTCCCAGTTTATTCTGGCTAAATCCTCTCTCATACCAGCAAAGTTGGCTCGATTTAAATTGAAGACTTTTGCTTCAGACTTAACTACTTCCCTCTCTAACTTAACGCTAAATTCCATCATATTATGATCGCTTTGCCCTAGAGGAGCCTTAAGTTCCAGTTTGCTGATCAACCCTGTTTCATTACACAAAACAAGGTCTAATATGGCTTGTTCCCTGGTCGGTTCCTCAGCATATTGATCTAGAAAATTATCTCTTCTTTGTTACCTTTCCCAATTTGGTTGTCCCAGTCTATGTGCAGGTTAAAATCACCCACAATTAGTGTCTTTCCTTTGCTACATGCTCCACTAATCTCTTGATTTATACCTTGAGCGATACTTTGACCACTGTTTGGGGGTCTATAAACTACTCCCACTATAGTTTTCTGCCCCTTGAAGTTACGTATCTCTACCCATACTGACTCTACATCTTGCTTTTCAGATTTAAAATCTTTCCTCTCTACTGTTTTTATCCCATCCTTTATTAGCAGGGCCACTCCCCCTCCTCGTTTACCACATCGCCTATCTTTCCTATATACCATATAGCCGGGAATATTCAGTTCCCATCCCTGATCACCCTGTAACCATGTCTCGGTGATGGCTACTAGATCATACTGGTGTGTCTCTATTTGTGCAACTAATTCATCTATCTTGTTACGAATGCTTCGTGCATTCAGATATAGCGCCCTTAATTCTGACTTCTGGCTATTAACCCTATTCACCAGCACTCTATCACTGTACTTCCTTTCCCTGCTTGACACACTTTGCTCTTCTCCCTTGTTAATCTGCTCTCTTGCTTTTGTTGATCTCAAGTTTAACTGTGGTGGACTATACTATGTTTTTACCTCCCCCCCCTTAGTAGTTTAAAGCCCTTTCTACCTCCCTATTTATTCGCGTAGCCAGGACATTTGTCCCAGCCCTATTTAGGTGGAGCCCATTCCTTTGGAAAAGCTCCCATCAGTATTGAAAATTTGAATGGATCCGGCATCCACAACCTTTTGGGGGAAGAGAGTTCCAGATTCCCACTACCCTTTGCATGAAAAACCCTCCTGATTTCACTCCTAATAGGTCATTCTAAGTTTCATCGGGTGTATGGTATTAACCCACCAAAACATCCCTAAAGATTATTGGTGTGGCCTCGTATAGGCATGACTTTTGGTGTGGGGCACTTTACTTTGCAAAGGAGTCAACCAGTTCTGCAGTTGAGTAAGAAGTTACCAAGTTCAGCTTGTGGCCTAGATGGGCCTCACTACTGGATTTTCTCTGCTGTGGAAAGACATCAGTCAGTTTCCTTTTCCCTGTGATTTTCTCCAGGTTCTGATTCAGCTGGAGTGTGCCAGTGCCGCAAGTACCATGTGCTGCTTTTTCAAAGAAATTCCTCACGATTTCCGCGGTCGAACCCTGGAATTTTCCTTGTCTCCTAAAGTAACCATGACACAGGTCCCCGAGACCCTGCTGCCCCCACAAGATCCAGGAATTCCATTCCTTCCCCATGAAGCAACTCCATCGCAGGTATGTGGACTTTTTCATTCTATCTGTTTCAGCTCTGTGTGTGTGTGGGTGTCCTGCCAGTGTCTGTGTGTGTGTGTCCATGTGTGAGAGAGAAACCATTGTCTCTGGTAAATTGAACCTGAGTAGCTACGTTGAACTTCCAAGTCATTCAGTCTCGTATTCATGTGTATCAGGCATGCTCAGTTGGTGATAAACTGCCAATAACCAACTGTATCAAGACTAGAAAGTGTCTGTTTAGTGACGCGCTGTTGAACGTGTAGTGTTTTTTGGAAAACGTACTCTGTTTAGCTTTTCTTAACTAACCAGCCAGATAATATGGTTCACTTTTATTTTGCATGGAAAAGTCTTGATTCTGCTGGGTTTTCAGACACGAGGCACCAATGATGTACTCATTGAGCAGCCCAGGTGCCGGGAGAGAACCAGTCTCTAAGTTTGATTCCTGAGCAAAACTCAGTTGAGAGATTTCTCCCCCTTCCACGTGTCCCCTTCTCTTTTTCTCCCCCCTAAAAGGAATGTTCTAAAGCAGTCTTTTCTTGTGGGCCCATGGAGGCTGGCTCTTGATCTTGCAGTAAATATAGCTTTCCATTTCAGTGCCATTTCAGTGAGCACTCTGAGGACGTCTCTGATATGCTTAATATTTTATCTGTCATTTCAGTTTGACGTCACAAGCGACAGTCTTCCTACGTTTTGATTGTTTCATCCTCCTTCACCTCCAGAGTCTCAGTGCGCTGATCGTCCCACAAGCGATTGGCAGCATCCAAGTGCAGCACTGGAGTTGAAGCCCGACAATCAGCCCAATACTTGGTGGGGGTGGTCTAGACATTCAACACAGTTCATGCCACTTGCCCATTCTCAGCCTGCCCCTCAGTTCAAGTCGGCCGTTACAGAAAAGTCTACTTCTAAGACTATACTGTCCGGCTCCAGGACAAAATGGTCTTCTGATCTCCTCCACTGGACTGGCCGGTCCGCGGAGGCTTCCCTCAATGACAGGAAATGCTAGCAACCCATCACTTGCGGAGGAAAGCCGCTGGAATGCTGTAGTCTCTTAACCTTGGCGTTTCGCCATACCCCGAGCTAGCGGTACCCCGCAGGCGTTCCCAGTGTTCCTGCTGTTTCCGCTCCGGAGGTTGATCAGAAAGTTTTGGACCTGTTTGTCTCAAAGCACATTATATCTGGCAAACAGCAGCTCGACGGAAGGATAGGGGTGATAGAAGCAACCCGTTCCATCCAGTGGAGGGTGACTGAGAGTGTAAGCCCTCTCATCAAGGCTGCTGAGAGTTACGAACTGGATCAGCTGGATGGGAACACTTCCCTTTCTGTTGAGCAGCTCAGGGAGAAGTTGACCTCAGCAGTGACCGCCTGTCGTCCAGCTGTTGCTCTAGCTGGATAGACATACAATTTCCTTTCTGAGTTGAAGTCAGATAAGCTATTACGGACATGAGGCATGGAAAGGATTGCTCCCGATCCCTTGGATTTTCCCAACCTGTTCACCACCAACTTGTTTGGTCCACATTACATGGACATGGGGGTCTTGTCCACTAAGCAGGAAGAGCACAAACAAATGACCATGGATAACAAGCTGAAAGGACTAAAGAAAAGAAGCACTTTCAATGGCAGCTGGCCCCCATTTCCCTCCCGTAATAAGCTCAACTTCTCTGGTTGAATCTAAAGTTTCGAGGTGTATATTTCTGGACTTGGCATTTTGTGTTCTTTTTCTCTTCCCTTCCTCTCCTGCAACTTCACCTGTTCAAACTCGCCCCCTCCAGATAGATTGGTGAATAGCAGTTTCTAAGGGACAGAGAGGAAAGATTACTGGGGAGAATCTTTACAAACAGCAGGGAAGGGAATCAGCCTTCAGCACCAACCGACGTCTGCAGCTGCCTATGGATGTGCTTTGTGTAGTTTGCTCACTCTGATCAGAATCAACTTGTTTATACCGAGAAGCAAAGATTCTAATTTAACCCTATCCCATCCGAAGTGTGCGGTATAGTACAGCACTGGGTTTAGCAGTGCTGTAAGTGAAGTGAGTTAGGAAGCCTGTCAGAGTTTGTGTTTACTGGCAGCGGCAAAACAGGATACAGGAGTTTTCTTTCAAATCCTCCCTTGGGTCGCGTTCATTTGATGTGCCATCCAGCTCCATTTAAGTGTTCAGGAATGTGGTTGCTGCATCTCTTCACTCTCGAGCATTCCTTCTGCTGAAGCAAGCTCTGGTCAGAAAGCTCACCAACAGATGGACTCTAAACTTAGTGTGCATCTTCCTCCGTTTGAATCTTTCATCATGCACGCAGCTATTTGGAACAGAAGTTATAACAAGCAGTGACTGCAATGACCTGGATTGCATCAAGTCAAACATGCAAACTCCCCTGTGGAACTGTCTGGAGCAGGATCCCTGCTCGTCTCTCGCACCATCTGCCCCACCATCAGAGGTCATGCTTTCAGCCACTACGCCCCGAAACTCTGGAACACTCTCCTTCAATCCCTCCGCCTTGCCTCCTCTCTCCCCTTTTTCAACTCTCACCTGAAGACCTTGCTCTTCGACCGTGCTTATGGCCACCTCCCCCTCCCCCAGCTCAGAGTTAGGCTCTGCCACTGTTAAGTGCTCAGAGACGCTACCCTGTGTGGAGGGCACTATATAAGTGCAAGTTGTTGTTGTTGCTGCCAGTCAGTGTGCCTCTGATCCCTGGCAGCAGGCGTGGCTTGAGGCTTCTGTTTATCTGAGACACTCTGCAAAGCCGTTTTCATCTAAAGAAGCTTATTTTATTTTCTTCTGCAATAGATCTAGACCCTCTGTTCCACTTTCTGAAGTGAGTCTTCAAGTGATATTGGTTCACCAAAGGTCTTTGTTCATTGTATTTGTGTTGTGTTCCTCTTCATTTTATCGATAGCGCATTGTGCTATTAGCAGTTTCTCACCACAATAGTCGCCCTGTTGTTATCCTTGTCACAAACACTTAGAATTTCTGAGGTCAGGTCAATTTGTGGTTTCCTGGTCCATTACCAGTGTGCACAGAAATCAGCTGCTTCAACTTGAGCATCCACCTGAGGATCTTTAACATCCACCTGAACAGGAACAGGCACAGACTGGACTTCAGTTTAACATCTCATCCGAAGGACAGCGTCTCCAACCATATAGTACCCCACCAGCACTGTGTTGGAGTGTCAGCCCAAACTATGTGAGTTGAAAGTCCTGATGTGGGACTTTGATCACACAACCTTCTGGCTCAGGTAAGACTGAGCTCACCAGACAATACGTGCCCTGCGAGGAGTTCTGTACTTAAACCCCAGTGCATTGGGCAGATCTCTCCTAGTTGGGAAAAGTGACGACTTACTGTATGAGGTTGCATAGTTCGTCAAACTGTTGCTACAGAATTTTGATGGCCTTTAAATTGTTTGTGTTGAAGGTCTCGGTGTTTTTATTACATTGCAAAGTGCTAAAGAAACTTTCTGAACTTATAAGAAATTTCTAAATCTTCCTTCCTTCTGTGTAACATTTTATCTGGAGATCTTTCAACAAGTGTTGAATGAATTTGGACATGTTGTCTATCGATATCAAGTCAACCTTGCTGCGACTCCCAAATGCAATGCTTTTGCCTACAGTACGTGGTGTTTAAGCACTCGCATGAAGAGGATAAGCGGTGGATGGTGATTATTCAGCCCAGAAACTGGAGGACAGAGCTATGAGGAAACTTTGGCAATCTCGGGACATTTCTCTCTGGAACAGAAATTGAGGGCAGATTTGATTTAAATGGTTAAGATTACTAAAGGTTTGGGAAAATTTGGATTCAGATACAATCTTCCAAAGTTGTTCAGAATTCAGGAGCAACAGCCATGATTTAAGGGAACGTAAAGGCAATAGGCAGTGCAGGAGACAGAATTTTAGTCAGAATGGTGGGCTGGAACAGACCAGCTCAGGGCATCAAACAACTAGAGGATTTCAAAAATAAACTGATAATAGTAATCCGTGCATTAAAGGGCGTCCAGGTCATTAGACATTGAGATATGCTAATGAGACTTTGGGATGATGGATGGGTGGTTAGATCGACCTTTGATCTCCTCAGATTTAGGACTGTATCATACCAGCTGTCCACGCTGCCATTGAATTATTTACTCACTACTCTGAGGAACACAAGCTTCTTCCCAAATGATTGTAATCTTACCAAGTCTGTCTGTCTGTTCATCTGTCTGCCTTAAACCGGGACATCTGGTCATGGAGTGAGCAGTGATGAAACCCTTGGCTGTTAACTGTTGAGGCACGCTTTGAATACAACCAAGATCGCAGGAACGAATTTCATGTTTCTGCTGGTGGGAAAGGTCCCAAATAACTAGTTTGGGCAGTTTTGTTTCAGGCTCAGCAAGGCCATGACAACTGCCTACAATAGTGGCCTCACTGAGAGTAGCAGGCATGGGAGTGGGGATGTTATCCTGGTGCATTGGGGGGTGATCCTAAGATGGGAGCTTCACTCTGCATTTAACCCAACTGATAACTGGGCTGACTGGATGTTGACATTGGGTGCAAACAATGGAGGGGAACCTGCCCGGGATAACAGTGTGACCCGCCTGGTGCTCCTGAACCTCCCAGCGTATAATCAGTTCCTGTTTGGTGAAACAAGATTTGTTCTGAATTTCAGGCTGAGGAAAGCCCATTTCCACTAGAGTACAGCAGAGATCAGATAACCTATCCACTCAAGGGCATGTCTTGTCTTCTGGCATCTCCTACTCTAAGTAGGGTTATGTTTAAGGCAGCTTCCTCTTTGTCCACCCAACATTTATATGTAGTTTCCTTTCTTCAGGAAAACCAGGCCATAGATGAGGTTCTGACAGCAGTGGGGAAGATGGGACAGGCCACAATCCCACATGCGTTTTTGGAATGGACCATGGTTGTGTGTTCAGGAAACCCCTTCCTGCTCAAGTGCTCTGTTTTATTCCTTTTCCACCTAGCCCTGACCCAGTCTAATAAACCATTCTCTACAATTAGCACGGGACTGCTGTCATTTAATGCAT